TATAAATTTGAATTTGTATTTGATTTGATTTTCAAATCAAATATTCAAATGTCAAATCGAATTGCGGAACCCTATCAATTTGTATCAGTAAAATATAAAATTTCTACTCGTCCAAATGCCATTGAATATTTAGCCATAAATCTGATAAATCTTAAATTCCATATTTGTTAACTTTTATTTTATAATATAAATTTTTCATAATAAATCAAAACCTGATTAATATAATGCTGAATTATATATAATGCAACAAACGACAGTCAATTTATTATAATTTTCATGTCGAATTTTAAAGAATAACTGAAATTTTGCCATACTGAATCATCTAAATATTTGCCGAAAGGTTTTAGTATAGAAATAATGCTAAATTATATGTGTCATAATTTTTTTATCAAATTTTAAACTCGAGTTGAATATTTGCCAAATAGTATCACTGAATCAGCTGGATGTTTTCCAAATAGTATTAGTGCTGAAATAATGCTAAATTATGTATAATGTAACAAATGACTATCGATTTTTGTAACCTAAACCGAATTTTGCTGAATCACATAACCGAATCGGCTGAATGTTAACTGAATGGTATTAGTGCTGAAATAATGCTAAATTATGTATAATATAATAAATGACTATTGATTTTTGTAACTTAAGCTGAATTTTACTAAATCACATGACCGAATTAGCTGAATGTTAACCGAATAGTATTAGTGCTGAAATAATGCTAAATTATGTACAATATAATAAATGACTATCGATTTTTATAATTTAAGCCAAATTTTGCTGAAGCACATGACTGAATCGGCTGAATATTAATTGAATAGTATTAGTGCTAAATGAAATGATTTCGACTAGTGTTTTGCTTTATTGCTTTGATGTACTACCATTTGATTTATATGGTACAGAACATCTAAACTCATCAAAAATTTAGCATGAATTCTAAATGTATCTAATCTTTCAATTTATAAGTTAGAAAAAAACTAAACTAATTTTTATATAATTTAGGTAATGCTCTTTCAAAATATCAGCTTATATTTTGAATAGCTTAATTATTTAAAAAGTTATCAGGGTTTAAATTAGGGTACATTATTAATAATTAGCAAAATTTGAACTGATTTTGCAGGGGTATTTACAGGGGGTATTAAAAATTTAATTAATAAAAATGTGGGATTTTTATTACGTGATAAATTGATCGTGTTAAAAAAAATTTAAATTGAAAATTAAATGATTATATTCATATATATACATATTGCATACATATTATTTATTTTAAACGCATTTTTGAATTTTATTTTGTTTTATTTAAAAAATGCTACCTTTTTCCAAACAAAAAAGAATAACAAAAAACCAACCACGAACAGCAAATGGTAAGTATAGCAAAAAAGTGCGTAAAGATGACCAGAACTCATCTACATCTGGATATAGTTGGCATGATACAGTTATCACATTTTACGATGATAATGGTTCATTTAATTCTTTCAGTAATAACCCTATGATGATCACAATTTTGGTAATAACGGTGACAGTTCTTAAGGTTCTGATGATAATATTAATGATATACCAACTGGTAATAGTAATGGTAATAGTGAGTATATTAGTTATGAATTTCTTAATGAAAAAGAGTGAGGTGATGATGATGGTAGTGGATGGGATGATCCAGAGGATATAGAAGCTGAAATTAAGCTTAATCAAAGATTAAAAGAATTTGGTTTAGTATGGAAAAATGATAATCAATTAGAAAAAACAAAGCGAAGACTATATAAGATAGGCAAGACGCCAAAATCAACATATTATGATAAGTATGATCCAAATGGCTTGTTAACTAAAACAGCAGCTGACACTACAAAAATTACAAATTTTTTTAATATTAATGATACTTAATCTACCAAATCATAAATACTTAAGCCCGATATATTAGAAGATTCCTCAAGTGATTCAGAAAATGAGATTTTTAATCTATATACTTATCAAATAGCTGAAAAAATAAAAGATTTAAAAGAACAGTTAGAGAAATAACATAATCAATTAACAGTTGTTGAGTATAATCATAAAAGAGCAATATTTGAATATCTTACCATATTAAATAGTAATAACAGACGTAAAAGAGTTGAAATCAGCTTAGAAGTTGCTCAAAAAATTTATATTAATGGTGGTATATGGAAAGCGCAAAAACTCTGATATCTTACGAAATATTGGTTACTTAACAACAAACTTCTAGCATCGAGATATGGAAAACATCAAAAAATAATTAGAGTGATTGATGATGAAGATGTTGTAGAAAGATGTCACATTTGGATTCGAAAACAAAATTTCAATATCACATTAGCCATATTTAAAAAATTCATTAAGAATGAATTGTTTCCTAGTATTAGAATTGCTAAAAAAAAATCCATTGCCTTAATGACTGCAACAAGATATAAGTAAAAAATTTAAACTATACCTATTTTATAAATCAATCTGAAATACAATACTAATAATTGTATTTTATGAAAATAAAGGGCTTAAAGTCCTTAGCTATTCATTTCAACAATATCATCATGGGTATGATGAGTACGAAAGGGAAGACGTTCTACAATATCAAAAAGAGTTTTTAGAAAAAATATTTGAATATGAAAAATATATGTTCAAATATGAAGGTGAATTTATGGATTAAAAATGTCCTGACTTATCTAAAGGAGAAAAATAAAGAGTTCTTGTGGTTCATGACGAATGCATTTTCTATTCAAATGATAGAAAATGTGGATTGTAGACTAGAAATAGTGAAATTCCACTATGAAAAAAAGGAAATAGAAGGTCAATTATGGTTAGCGAATTTTTAATTGAAATTGATGAGCATTTACGTTTGCAACAAATTGATATAGAAAATATCCTTATATACCTGAAGAAGCACGATGTTACTTAAAACCTGATGTAAATCATGAGAGTTATTGGACGGCAGAGCATCTTCTTAAACAAATTGAATATAAAGTAATTCCTATTTTTGAAGCTTTATATCCAGATTGTATAGCTGTATTCGCTTTTGATAATAGCTCTAATCATACCGTATTTAGCAAAGATGCTTTAGTTGCAAGCCGAATGAACTTAAATCCAGGTGATAAGCAACTAATTATGCAGAATACTTACTTTGGACCAAATAATCAGCTACAATCAATGGTATTTCTAATAACACGTTATGATGAAAAACTTCGAGGTAAGTCTAAAGGAATTAAACAAGTATTAATAGAATGTGGAAAATGGTCACCTGGAGGATTAATATTAGAATGCAATAAATGTAAAGAAAAAAATCAAGATGCTTTAGAAACTTCCTGCTGTGTACGTTGAGTAATATTCTTGGAGTCCGATTTTCTTGCTCAAAAAGGTGCTATTGAGGAGTTAATTGAAAATGCAGGACATAAGTGCATTTTTTTTTCTAAGTTTTACTGTGAATTAAATTTTATTGAGAGATATTGGCAAAAAGGTATTCACATGAAAATTGTGATTACTCATAGAAGGGATTACAAAAAGTAGTTCTTAAAAATCTTGATTTAGTAACTTTAACAACTATTAGAAAATTCTCAAGAAAATGTTGGTATTACATAGATCTTTACAGAAAAGGTATTGATGGAAATTAGTTGAGTATGCGGTAAAAAAATACAAATCTCACAGAAGAATTCCAGAAGGTATCTTAGAAGAAATTAAATGAATTTTTTTTTCAATTTAATATAAAATTAATTTTATCCAATAAAATTAGTTGCATATGATATATTATGTAAAAATTTCATTTTGAAAATTTTGGACTGATCAACATTTTTGATGAGTTTAGGTGTTATTCATCATATTACTATTAATACTGAGTTTTTTCTAAATAGCTGTTATATCTTTTTTTATATAAAAACACCTTATATAATTGGGGAAAATTTTCATTTAGATCAGTTTTATTATTAGTATTACTTATCATGATTATTATAATAAGTCAAGATATATTTAATGCAAGAAATTTTGAGTCTAAAATACTAATCATTAACTCAGAATGGTAATCTTCAGCTTGAAAGATTCTTTGCTAAGCCATAATGTATGATGTAATAATCGTCTGATACTTTTGTATTATATCTTATTTTGCATATATATTAGGTAAAAGCATTAATCGATACAAAAAATATCTAATATTTCTTTCTAAACATATTTTATTTCAGAAGCAAATAATACTTTTATATTCATAAATCAGCTTTACTTATAACTGCAGTTAGATGCATAATTTTTCGCAAGCATAAATATGCACATATATATAAAAACTATATTTTTATAAGCTTTTTTACTCGCTTTACCTACCTCAATAACAGAAGAAATTTTTACTAGGATAATATCAGATATTGTTAGGGATTTCGATACAGAGGGACTTATTGAATATTTGGAAAGAAAAGATTTGAAGTTTAAGGAGACCTATTTTAAAATTTTATGAAAGAAAGAAATTGCTAGTTCTAACTTTCTCAAATTAACTAAAGTGAACTTTCATAAATTAGTTTTACATTAGATTTATTAATAAGACTTACAGAATTTATCGAAAGTCTCAGCCAGAAATTAAGAACCTATTCTTCGCTTAAAACTCTCAATAACTTGAAAGAAATATTATGTAGAAATAAGATTAATGGAAAGATATAATAAACATTAAGCAGTTTTTTCCTGATAAGTGATTAATTAATTTTTTAAAACTGACTAGTTGACTATACTAACCTTATTTTTTTCTGTAGTCTTTGAGAATATTAATAATAATGATAAGACGTTCAATCAATGTATGGAAAATATAATTCCTTTCCTTGTACCTTTGGTACTATGAAAGATAATCTAACTATTTTAGTGAAATATTTTTTTATGATTAGAATTAGAAAATAATAATAAGGCTTTCTTTAAAAACTACATTTAAAAAGGGATATATTCATAGTTTTACAAAAGAACATTTCTGATAAAGATATAATGGGTCAAGTAGATTATGTGATCAAAAGTTTGAAAGATCTTTTATATGTTACTAAGAAGAAACCATGCAATATCATAATTAGATATATTTAAATAGGTCTACTACTCAGATTGTATTTTAGAGATTCAATAATATTAACACATTTTATATATTTTATCTTTATTAAGTTATTGAAGGATCATGTTAGTGTTGATAATTCTCTAACTAGCAAAAGAGTTAAAATCAAAAAATTTATTAAAAAATAATATGTATCCTAGATAATATCCTGAACTCTTATATTTATATTTCATATGTATTAATAAAGTGGTTTTACATTTGCCACATAATATTGAATAATTCTTTTATATAAAAATATTATTTATCATAATATCTGAGTTTGAAGTATTGATCACTGAACTTAAGGCTAAGAAAACTGATGAGAAAGCTAGATTTGTTGAGCTTGAGGCTAGGATTTTAAAACTAGAGCAGGATCAAGCAAAAAAGGAAGCTAAGAAAAATTACAAATTCCAGACTAGATGTATCCTGATAGCTAAGAAAATTCTTACAGCTAATTTCATAATTTATGGACCACTAATAAATTGCGACTGAATGCGACTGAAAATATTTTATAATAAAATT